CAACTGACTTTGTAACCCAGGCTGGTCTCGAACTCACAACAATCCTCCTGTCTCAGCCTCCCGAGTGCTGGGATTGCAGGCATGTGCCATCACGCCCGGCTTCCCTTACCTTTTATAATCTGAGAATCTCATACAAATGAGTGTGACTCAAGTGGTAAGATAAATTTGTTGTAACTGGGTTTCTGTAGTAATCTAAAAAGAAAAGTTTAAAAGGCAATTTACTTTTCTACTGAAGGTAAAAGGAGCAGTATTAGGCTCTTTGAGAAGAATTTTCAAGGATAGTTTAGCCTAAATGGGTTTTGGAGGTATATAATTCACATACCATAAAATCCATCTCTTTTAAATGTACAATTCAGTGATTTTTTTTTTAGTATATCCAGAAAGTTGCACCACCGTTTCTACTAATTTCAGGACATGTAATCACTCCAAAAACAAGCCTGATATCTATTACCAGTCAGTCTCCACTCTTCCCAGAGCCCTTGAAAATCACCAATCAGTCTCAAATTTACTTATTCTGAACATTTCATATAAATGGAAGCATGCTGTATGTCACCTGTTGTGGCTGGCATCTTTCACGTAGCAAAATGTTTTGTTTTATATACGATAGGGATTTAACTAGGAGCCTTGTTCACGCTAGGCAAACTCTATCAGTGAACTATATCCTCAGCCCCAGTAAAATTTCAAGGTTCATTCATATTGTCGTGTGAATCCGTACTTCATTTCTTTTTTATGGCTGGACCTAAATTGGTTTCTCCCTTACAGGCTGACTGTGCAATCTAATAGCACAGCCACACCAAGTGTTTCCAGTAAGTAACTTCACTCTCAAAATTTATTTATTCCCTAATCTATTCCAGTCTCTTCTTTCTTTTGGCAAAATACTGTTTGAACTGTGGAAACTTCTTCAAAGAGGTGATTTTACAGCATCCATAATAGCAAACCTTTTAGGCAAGAGTCTTTCAACATCGAAACAGAAATTAATCTTATAGTAGCTGAAGCAAGAGGCTTATGTAACTGCAGATAAAGCTGGAAAAAAGCTCAGAGGAAAAAGGGAAGAGCTAAAGAGTAGGGACTTCAGGAACCGTCTTACTGTCTCATTCCTGGGACAAAATACCTAACACCCACAAATTAAAGAAGGAAAGGCTTATTTTAGCTTGGAGTTTAAAGGTTTCAGTCCATAACTGGCTGACTCCAAGGCAGGACAGTAGGGAAGAAGGGAATGGCAGAGGAGAAATAGTCCGTGGCATGGCAGGCAGGAAGCAGTGAGATTTCTTCTTTGCCTTTTTATTCTGTCCAGCCTGCAAGCCTATAGGTTGATGCCACTCACACCTAGGGTAGGTGTTCCCTCTTCAATAAATCCCTTACCCACACCCAGAGCTATGCTAAACCAATTAGTGGACTAATCAGGTAACATACACCCAAGATCCAGTATCATACTCATGATCTAGTCAGTCCTAAAAGTCCCACCTATGAGCACATGAGGCTTTGAAAGAACACTTAGATGTAAACCATAACGGGAACCAAATCCTGGGACTCCGCATTACCATTACAAGACTATCTCAAATCTCTAATTTTCAGTTTAATTTCATTCTTCATGAAGCCTCCCTCCTTCCACATGGTAGGATCTTCCCATGTTCCCAGATCATATCCTCTTGGTTTAGCAAGTCAAGCAGAGATGAAGCTTGTCATTCCCAGCATCAACATATAAATCCTAGGGAGTGCCTCTGATGTGCCCTGTCATATGCCTTTTTTCCTGAACCAATTTCCAAGTGTGATCAAAAATCTGGTGAATGTTGCTGGCAAGTACCAGCCAACAAAAAGGCTTCTATACTACAGTGTGTCCTCATGCACCTTATTCACCAAGAAACTTCTGGGTCTTCCCCCAAGTCAAAATGATCCTGAAAGGTGAACATTTTTAATTGATTCAGCACGTCGAGGCAGCTACAAGGGTGCAACTAAAGACCTTCATGAAAGACTCCCAGAATGCTTCAGAAAGTGACAAGAATGATGGGCTCAGTGTGTTCAAAGTGAGGGAGAGTGTTTTAAGGAGGATTATTTGCTGCATCCAGCGCAGCTCTTGAAATTCCGGAGGGAGGACGGTGGAGGATGAAGAAGTGAAGACGCGTCAAGATGCACAAAGCTGAAGTCAGGTGGAGCCCCTCTCCTGCTGGGAGAAAGGACTGCCCAATAACTGCAGCACATTTCCGTATACAGTCAGCATAAGAAGCTGTTTACAGAGAATTTTAAGAGAAGGGTAAGATTCGGAACAGAAAGGACATCTCATCTTCAACAAAGCGTCATGCCTTGGTAGTGAATACAGGGAACAAGTGCTCCCAGTAATTATTGGCAGCATGGCTTTTACTGTAGTAGATTGTTTTAACTGAAGCATTCACTGTGGGGCTGGGGATTGAGCTCAGCGGCACAGCGCCTGCCTGGCAAGCGTGAGGTCATGAGTTCAATTCCCGGTACTGGAAAAAAATAAAAACAAACATTCATTGTATTTGTAGTACACTTTTTATAGGCAGGATAATAACACCTGTGACTAGAAAAATGGGGAAGGGAAATTTTACTGGCCAAACAAAATTAATAACCTTAATAACTTATCAATAACTTAATAATAACTTAATCAATAACCTTAATACTACCAACTACCCGTTGGTTTCTCAGTATCCACACATAACTCCTTATATCTATGACTTTAATACAGTAATTTGCCCCAGTAATTATCCCCTTTAAAATGGAAAATAGGTTCATCTTCTACCCAAAGGCAAATAAGCAAAAATCACTGTCTGTTACATCCAGTTCTAAATCCAGGGGTCTTTGGATGATGTGCACTCTTCGTGGTCAGGTCTGGATGTAGTTCTTCCTAATCCTACCACCAACGGCAAATTTTTGTTTTTGCCACAGGGTCTTGCTACATAGCCCAGGCTGGCCTCAAACTTGCAGCAATCATCCTGCCTCAGCCTCCCAAGTGCTAGGATTACAGGCATGTACCACCACCCCCCAGCTACCAATGGCAAATTTTAAGTAAAATGGCCTCAGTCAGAGATATAGGAAAAGTAAAGCAAAATAGGGCATTCACCCAGCACTCTATACCCAAGAATGGGTAAGATGAATCCCAGCTTCTAGTTCAGGCTCAAGGAAGAATACTTTTCTGCTGAGGTTGCTTATAGAATCTTTAAGAAATCCTAGACATGGACTGTCTTGGCCCTGAGAGAGCTCTAGGATATACTCTCAAGGGCATTCTCTGCTTTGCTATGTGGACACCAATTCAGTTATTCTGGCAACACAACGGGAGGCAGGGTCAGTGAGCTTATGACTGACCCAGGAGCCGTCAGGAGAGGCCTGCCAGGCCTGATGGTGCATGCCTGTCATCCCAGCGTTCTGCAAGGCTGAAGCAGCAGGATCACAAGTTCAAACCCACTCTGGGCAATTTAACAACTTACAACAGACCCTGTCTCAAAATTCATTAAAAAGGGGATGAAGGAGTAGCATTCTAGTTCAGTATAAAGGGCTGGGGTTTAAGCCCCAATACTGAAAGTAAATCAATAAAACCAAATAAACAAGGAGATGCCATGGCAATGCCACTAAACCACACCAGGCAGCATGCTGAGAAGTAACAGGAAGGGCAAAGCTGGAGTAAGTAGTGAGATGGTGATAAGTGGCTTGGTTTGGAAGGACAGCCCCAAAGAAATTTCCACAGGTATTGCTAAAATAGGGAAATAATGATGTTAGTAGAATTTTGCTCTGTTTGTTAGAGGACTACAGGAAAGTTGAGATTATAAATATGTTGCATTACTGGGGTAGAAAAGTAAATCTAATAAAAGTTCTTGTATAAGTGCTAAGTAAAAGCTCTCTGAGTTTAGAATTCAGTCTTCTCCCATGAGATGGGAGGGATCATACAGGATTTATAAATTACTACAATTCTTTAAAAGAAAGAGCTGGGCGTGGTGGCACACGCCTGCAATCCCGGCACTCGGGAGGCTCGCTGTGAATTTGAGGCAGCCTGGGCTACACAGTGAGCTCAAGGCTAGCCAGAACTGAGTAGTGAGACCCTGTCTCAAAAAAAAAAAAAAAAAAAAAAATGGTCACTGACAAAGACAGCAAAACTCATTCCCCCGTCACTGGAAAAAGTCCATTGTCAGTCAATGGACCTGCCTAATCCCAAAGGTGGGAGAAATTCCCTTAGTCAGTGTCCTCCAAGGCCGTTCTGAGACAGATGAGCAAAGTGGCAAAGAATAATCTCTTGAGGTCTGTACCCACTCCTTGTCTGCATGATTATAAAGACCCAGACATTATCTCAGAGGATTTTCGACATATGCTTCCCAGCTTGCTGGTCCACCGCCTCCTAAAATAGAGTCTTCATCTATAGGATTAAAGCTGAGTC